GGGCTGGGAGGGGGGGGTGCTAGAGTGAAAGTGAATGGATTGGGTAGGAGTGATTGTGGATAAAAGTATGAATTGAAGTGGCTGAAGAGGAGATTGGGGGGGGGGGGGGGGGAGAAAGGGGAGATAACGGTAGAAGAAGTGGACTAAAATACGAGGAGACAATTGTCGCGTTTCTTATGCAATCAGTGTTTTTTTTTTAAATCTGTTATCTCAATCGCTTTCATTAGTGAAGGAGGGGGGGGGGGGGGGCTGGTCATCGACTGGTAGAGCACACAACTGCTAACACAAAAGTCTCGAGTGGTTGTAGGGTTCAAATCCTTAGAACTACCCCGTGTGTGCGAACTCAGATATGTGTTGAGTACCTATTCTTGTCTGAAATAAATACGTGTGTGTATTGTGGTGACAATGTCCACAACAAGAAATTGGCTAGTTACAACTGGAGTAGATGGGATCCATAGTGTCTCAACTCTCATTTTCAGGTGGCCCATGACCTTGAATAAATAACTCTCATTATGTGTTGGTCCCTGACTTTCAGTGAATAATTCTCATTTAAAGTTGGCCTGTGGCCTTGAATGAAGCTCTCGTTCGGTGTTGGCCCTGGCCTGAACAACTCGGCCAGTGGGGTTAGAAAAGAAATGCAAACACAACCCCTTTGTTTATCTAAATCACACAAACTCTACTGCTTCTGTCTTAGTACAGTCGGGTCCAAACTACAACCCAAAAGCATCTCATTTTATATTGCTGCTATTTATAACTCACATCAGTAAAAACAAAAAATAAAAACCTTAAAAAAACAGTACTCAACTACAAAGACTTTTTTGAGAATCAAAAATCATTTATTGTTTGTGCATTGAAGTCTAAATCATTGACAGATGTATGTATATCTAGTGCAGCATGCATTACAAATAAAGTGCACAGCCAACAGGTAAAAAAACGCACGCGAATGCACTCACTCTTTGCTCATTCCACATTTCACATGCAAACTGCAGTCAGGGTAAACATTTTTTTTTCGTTCAAGACGAGTCATTGAACCTTACGCCAGTTACAATGTGTGGAGTCGATTAATGATCTTGTTTGAGTCATTGAATCTGAGTCTAGTTACAATGTGAACATTCGGTTAACGATGTTGTTCGACTCCGACATTGCAGATCTTTATACTAACTCATGTCTTACATTTTGTCATCGATCTATCACCCTTGTCTAAGTGTTGCTATAAAATCAATATTTTCATTGTTTAGCCCGTATATTACTGAAAACAAGCCTATTATTCGGCTTCTCATTTTTTATAACTAGATTATATATCACCCCCCCCCCATATTATAGCTACATGGCTACCTCAAAATTAAAGCTAGATCTCCCCCCCCCCCATATTCTCACTAAATTTTCATAGCGCATATTATAACTATGTTGCTATCTTCCATAATATATCTAGATTATCATCCTCCAAAATATAGCTAAAATACTATCCTTTATCCATGTGTGCTAACGTTACACCTCACATATTTTAGCTAGATTAGACCATCCACCTTCAAGCTAGATTTCATCCCTTAAATCCTATAAAGATTACCATATTACCATCCCCCATCTTATAACTAAATTATACTCCCTAATTCTTACACAGAATACCATCCTCCACCTTATAGCTAGATTACATAGCCTAAATCCTACATAATGTACCATCCCCCACCCTCTACCTAGATTACATCCCCTAAATCCTACATAGTTTACCATCCGCTTACCACGACTATTTTTCCAAATCACTTTACCCAGCGGCTTCACAATTTGACCAGTCATGTTTAGCTTTTACAAAAGGCTATAACAGTATAACAAAAAAAAGCACATATACAATACTGTACACTCAAGATTGTGTGATTGGGGGCTTGTTGTTAATAGACCACCAATAACACAAACTTTTAAAGGTCACTATATTTCAAGTGAATATATCATCGGATTTCAGCGTTGTTTCATTAACAGCTTTCTCTAATGTGTCACTACATTTTATATCTATCCAATTAAACCATTGATAACGTCACAAGTGTGTGGTTAATTACCTGTATATAATTAGACGATAAACCATATCACAGACAAAACCCCTAGTAAATTTCATACATAATAGCATAGTATTTTTGGACATGAACATAAACTTACGTCGCTTTTCTGGAATCACATACAACGTCACAGCACTTGACGTCATTCTATGATACAGCGTAACAAACAATTGACGTCACACCTGGAACCTGGGCATAGTGCTGACCACAGTATCCGTTCATACGATGATGTCTCAGAAACACGTGAACTCTACTTTACTTTTTCCATGGACTGTCAGGTTCGAAAAAGGAACTTATACTTTTATACAGACATTATGCCACATCTAAATTGAACGTCACTTTAGCAAAACTAATCGGATAATATTTAGATAAAAACATACTCCCAATTTAGCTAATATTACTAATGACATGATAATAAATGTGTGTAACAATAAAAAAATTATATTCATCAACGATTAATTTAATAACAATATTACATTTAAAACATACTAATTAATATCACACATTTAGCACAAAAGTAGCAGTTTAATTTTTGAAAACAACAGTTTCAAATTACGTAAAAAGCTTTTAAAAACAGTGCATTTGATATTTCTTCGTCTTGATGTCAAGAAATGATGGTCTAATTTTTTTTTTACAGATACATCAGCTCGCGTATAACAGGTATTTCTAGAGGGTGAATAATTACAATGTGGGTAATTAACAAGAGTGTTATTTCTTCTGAAGTGGGGGTAATTAGCCGAGGGTGGGGTAATCGACCGAAAGTAATGTCCTTAAGCCGTTTGAAGTACCAGACAGCCATTTTCTGGCTTTGTCCCAGCCGTCTTTACTCTCGAGACAAGTGGGTTCGAATCTCGGCTGGAACAAAATCCAAAACCTACACGTTACTTACTTAATGTGAAGATTTTAGGGCATTTTTTAAAATTTTACCACAGTAATCGTACAGACAATGTTGGTTAATCTGCTAGTGTGTCTACAGTTGGTAAGAAACATATGTTGTTGTAGTTTGTCTGCAGTTGGTAAGGAACATTTGTTGTTGTAGTGTGTCTACAGTTGGTAAGGAACATATGTTGTTGTAGTTTGTCTACAGTTGGTAAGAAACATATGTTGTTGTAGTTTGTCTGCAGTTGGTAAGGAACATTTGTTGTTGTAGTGTGTCTACAGTTGGTAAGGAACATATGTTGTTGTAGTTTGTCTACAGTTGGTAAGAAACATATGTTGTTGTAGTTTGTCTACAGTTGGTAAGAAACAGTTGTTGTTGTAGTTGTCTACAGTTGGTAAGGAACATATGTTGTTATAGTTTGTCTGCAGTTGGTAAGGAACATTTGTTGTTGTAGTGTGTCTACAGTTGGTAAGGAACATATGTTGTTGTAGTTGTCTACAGTTGGTAAGGAACATATGTTGTTGTAGTTTGTCTACAGTTGTTAGGAAACATTTTTTGTTGTAGTTTATTCGACAGGTAAAACAATTACAATGCAATAAAAGCACACAGACCAGTAGACCAAAACGCTGGCGTGAGCGAATCACATTAGGCATGTTTAAAGCATGCATAGCGAAGTTGCAGACTATAATACTTATGGTGGTATTCATCTCAACATAGGTCTTCGTCCACAGTCATAAACACTGTTTGCCTTGAATTTATGAAGTAACAATGTACACAATAACGTTTCTCTTGGACGTTCGCTTATGTGTCACATTCGGCAATGTTACAGATTTATTAATACAATTCAGTATGTTTTCTACTACATTATGAATTTAGTATACACTGACAGGTGTAATATACATCAACCATAAAATCAATACCTTGTCTTCAAGGTGCATAATGAATACTACTTATATTAGTTTTAATTAGTTGTAATTCTAATACGCCACATAATTAATTCGCTTGGGACTCAAGAAAACAGAATGGCTATCCAATATGGCTGAAATATTTTACAAATGATTAAATTTTAGCATTAAAATGTGCGCATTTTAATGATGAAATACTGTTTTGTCTTGAATGCGCATGTAATAATTCAATCACATTAAGCTTCAAGACTCTACATGATAATGTTTGTTTAATTAATGAGCTTTTTTTTTAAATGAACTGAATATCTTTCTCAAACGTCTATTTTAAAATAACTTGGTTAAAATGTTAAATAAAAAATAAATGTTAAAATGAAATAGAAAATGAAAGTTATAAAAAGACACTTAAGTTGATTAAAACTGTGCGTTTAGTGAAACCAAGAGGATGATAGGATTGACCCCAGCTGAGGAGCAGTTATAAATAACTTTATGGGTGGTGAGTGGTTACAGCTTTTGGACATTGTGGCCCAGGTACAACTTTTAGACATTGTGGCCCAGGTACAACTTTTGAACATTGTGGCCCAGGTACAACTTTTGGACATTTTGGCCCAGGTACAACTTTTGGACATTGTGGCCCAGGTACAACTATTAGACCTTGTGGCCCAGGTACAACTTTTGGACATTGTGGCCCAGGTACACCTTTTAGACATTGTGGCCCAGGTACAACTTTTGGACATTGTGGCCCAGGTACAATTTTCATACACTTTGACCAAACGTCAGGACTTTGGGACTTGATGGCCAATACAACATTCACGTCTGGTATTTAAAATAAAGTTTAATCAACCCAGGGCCATCTTGCACAAGATAAATAAAATAATCGAACCTCTCTCTATAGCTAACAATTACACGCTCTAACACTCGACCACGCCGTACCATTTAAACAAAAAACAAATTCGTACACATTAAGTGGATCAACCCAGGGCCATCTTACGCAACATAAACAAAAGACTTAAACCTGACTCTCTCTAGCTAACAAATACACGCTCTACCATTCGACCACGCCGTACCATCTAATAAAATGCATATTTGTACACATGAAATATTTTCTTCGACGGTACACACAAAACAAGGAGCATATAGACGCTAACAATATTAACATGGACTTCAACTAGTATCTACACAGATATTCACCGGTTAATTTAGCTGTTCTAATATCTGAATCATGATGTAAGCATCGATCGTGTATGAAACGTTCATTACAGGTCGATAATACTGGACAAAATGAGTAATTAAAATAAATAACAAATAAATACTTCCTATCAAGGTGAATGAATGATTCGTGTTAATGATATATCTGTAAACTTATAATGATATTTCAAATAGTTCTTGTTATGTTTACATATTATTATGAAGTCATCCCATGGATTAATTAGCTAGCCGGAACATCTTTAATCCTGTAGTAATCCACCGCCAGAGCCACGTGATCTACCCTAGAGCCACACCCCTTGACATCCGGGAACTCATAGTCCTCGAGAAAATAGGAAATTCCCGGTATATGTTGGGGAAACCCCGCTGGTAAGTTCTCCCTCGTTCTCGGCGTGAAGCAAAATCCTGGAGTATGACGTAACAGCCTGTCAACATATCAAGATTTAAAGTTTAGGTTTAGTGAAATAAAGAAAATACTTAATTACTAACTGAGCACAACTGAAACATATTTTAATTAATTCATAAAAAATTAATTAGGTGACCAATTTAAGTCAAATTACATGTCACGATGCATTGTCTTCATGTCTTGACCCACGTACCAATTACAAACCGTATCTGTCAGTTAGAAGTGTCTGCAATTTCGCACGGGCGTTTCGATCTAGACAGACAGACAGACAGACTGACGAGGAAGTGAGTTAAATAAAAGCTTGAAATAAAATACTTAAAAAAAACTTTTTAAAAAACCACGTTTTTCTTGTGGACTAAAAAGTAGAAAATAACTATTTACATACATTTGATGACAAAAAACGTGGGTACGTTCACCATCAAATTTCCCGACCCATCTGCCCGACCCACGTTTTTTGTCATCAAATGTATGTAAATAGTTATTTTCTACTTTTTAGTCCACAAGAAAAACGTGGTTTTTTAAAAAGTTTTTTTTAAGTATTTTATTTTCTCCTTTTTAGTCCGTTGCTACACATGAAAAACGTGTTTTTTAAAAAAGTTTTTTATATAGTTTATTTTCTACTTTATCTAATGACTTGATTAAGTATGAATTGACTAAGTGTTTATAAATACACGGACTAAAAAAATCTTGAGCGACCAGGATTCGAACCTGGGTTGTCGCGGCCACAACGCGAAGTACTAACCACTATACGATCACGGCCAGCGCGCTCACATCGATTGGGGCCGAAGTAACTGTGTCAACAAGCCTCCAGTCTTGTCGGTATCTTTAGAAATCATGTCCTCAATTTTATGGTCCTTTGGGCGTAATTAAATTAAGCTAATTACGGTCTCTAATTGCTAGTTTTTATGATTGCATCTGAAATTGTTAGGCGAAAGTAACCTGCATGCCAAATTTCAGATCTATAGAGCAATCAGAAGTGGGCTAATTTTCGATGTCAATTTTAACAACAAACACATCCACGCGAAGCTGAGTTAATAAAAACGTGTTAAAAAAAAGAAATTACTAAGCGATACGCAAAAAAAAAAAATTATATTAATTCTCAGTAAACATTTTTTACTATGTAGAGACCTGTCATTTGTACATTTGTAGTCTATATGTTTACATATTTTAATGACTTTAACTAGCCGTTGACTAAAATGGGGGGGGGGGGGGAGGGGTGGACTAGGAAACATTTGCTGGAAGAAAAAAAAATATTTTTATTTTATTTTTAAATTATACCTATAAAATGTATCGTTAACAAAAACGTTAATTTAAAAACCTATTAAAAACACATTTCTAAACACTTAATTCTAACGTCTATGGGACGGCGTGGCTGGGTAGTAGAGCGCGCGACTGCTAGCTCAAAGGCTCCGAGTTCGATTCTCGCTGACTGCAGAATGTTCCAGAGTCTACCCAGCTCTGGCAGGTACCTGCGTGACGTTTGGAAAAGTCATGGAGCCTGGTCGCATGCCGAGGTCAAGAGAGATATGAGCTCTCCTTCATCAGTCGTTAGGTGTGAAAGACGAACCTTAATTGTAACATCTCTATACAAAAATTGACTTTAATGTTAATGTGTTTTTGTTTCCTATTAGAAAAATAATAACCAAGGGAGATCACTATAACGATGTTCCAAAAAAGTTTCCTAAAAAAGAAACAATTCACAAGAAAAATAAAACACGAAAAGTTGGGTCATAGTTTTTTTTTTACAAATATGACAATTAATAGATTTAATGTTATCTTATGTCCAATCTCTAAATTTAAAAATTAATGCAATTATTAATTGACTCTATGTTAGATAGAAAAATCTTAACTAAATAGAATAATCAATTTATAGACCTTTGAAGGTTCGTTTTCAACCATATTATCATGGAATATATATATCGTTTCGCTATCTGAAATCTAGCTTTTTTTTAATATATTGTTGAACGATACTAGCAAAATATGGATTCTATATACGTATCAGTAGGACAACTATCCGAAAACTAACCCACAGAAAACACATGCACATCCACCTCCTTTCTGCAAAACTATAAAACGTTTTCAACAATCTCTTTGGCTATTAAGTTAGGATGATTGGGGGGGGGGGGGGGGGGGGCATTGAAGAAGTCAATATTTGACTTCAGGGGTGATGGTTCGTTTTGGGGGTGTTGCTAATATTTATAGTTTTTGAAGGATGGACTTGGAGAAAAATAATTGAGAACCGCTGGCCGTTACAACTATAGTTCTTATCCTACATAATAAAGGTAAGATCACAATGCTTAGTAAATACATTTAAACCAGAATCAACTCTATATTCAAACAATGAATGAACATGCGTGCTAACGCGAAAGTCTCGGGTTCAAGTCCGTAGTACTTTCCTGAGTCCACCCAGCTCTGATGGGTACCTAACTCATGTTATGGAAAGTAAAGGCGGCTGGGCAAAGGGTTGAATACACTTTCCATCATATGCCGAGGTCAAGAAACATACGAACTCTATTTCATCTGCGCAATGGATCGCTAGGTTTAAAGAGGAATCTTTACTTTTACTTTACGGTTGTGTGTAGGTCATCTTTTAGTATGACCACAGTTGAGTACTTTTCTTAGATATGTATGTCTAAATATCGTACATTTATCAGAGGCCACGGGACAGATGTACTATAGTATCTTAGGTATGTTTGTCTACATATCGTACTTTTCTCGAATCTACAGAGGCCATGGGACAGGTGTACAATAGTATCTTAGCAAAAGTGACTAGCAGCCAAGATACTTACATATTATGGCATTATTTTGTTACGTTATTTTAATGTATGATATACGGCAACATATGGACAAAGGAAACACATACTTTTACTGTATGTCAGTCTATGCTTATATCGCCATTTATGAACACAGGAAGCCCATACTTTTACTGTATGTCAGTCTATGCTTATATCGCCATTTATGAACACAGGAAGCACATACTTTTACTGTATGTCAGTCTATGCTTATATCGCCATTTATGAACACAGGAAGCACATACTTTTACTGTATGTCAGTCTATGCTTATATCGCCATTTATGAACACAGAAAGCACATACTTAAACTGTATGTCACTGTATAAGACCACTTATAACCAGATCACACAAGAAACTTACTCGTATGTCGTGGGGCTCACGTGCGTCTTTAACGGCTCACTCCCAGACTCAAACTTGTTGGCGATGGTCACGTTGTTCCCAAACAGGCAGTACCGTGGCATTTTGCGACCCACGACCCCTGCTAGAACCCGACCCGTGTGGATCCCAATCCGCATCTGAAATTGGAAACAAAATTAAAATTTAAAAATAGTTTAGATTGAAAAAGTGAAAACTAGTTTTTTTTTTGTGCCGACCGCTGGGTTTTGTGACGTCATGTATTAGAATGTGTGTTCGGATTTAGACTTTAAATTTTGGTTTCGTTTTCAGGGGAATTTTTTTTATCTGGCAACATTGTAGATAGATAAAAAGATACGAGAAAATTTGAAATCAGCAGATGAGAGATTCAGGTTGTGAACTAAACCTATGAGGTTGTGGGGTAGGTTTACAGGAAAAATATTTTTTTTTATAAAGCAAAAAAACAAACCTTGATCACAAGCGAACGCAGCGGGGTACCACGTTAATCTAAATTATACCAGGATTCTAAATTTTTAATATATATAGAAATTTTAGATTAAAGTAAGAATGAAATGAATTTGTAAACCGCAACTTTACATATTGAACCATATGATATCTTTAACAACATATGAACACCATTAAAAAAAAAAATTAGCGCAAATATAAAAATGGTAATTTTTTATATAAATATGAATGTGCATTGTCGTGATAATTAAACCCAAGAAAAGAAGATCAAGAAAAAAAAAAGAAAATGAATGCAGTAATATCCATGTGAGAAATGAAGTTCGGCTTCTGCAAGCAAAGTTTTCATTGTCCTTCACGGCACCCAATCAGAAGACGGTATATCTTAGGCTTTTGTCGTGACGTGCGCTCCTCTTTGTTTTGGGTGCAAAGAAAAAAAAAGGAAATGACGTCATCGAATTGGTTATTCTGGTTCGTCCCAGACAAAACACGCTGAGAGCAGCAGACAAGAAGCAGACATTTTGTCTGGGTTTTATTCGCGAGAGTCTGAGGAAGTCGTTCTGTTTTTCTGTTGTAATGAGCATTATAGGAAAACGTGGTCGTGTTTTTATAACGGTCGGGTTTTCATTGTGTTTTCATAGTCTGTGTTTGACGTACCGTTCTGTATCAATAGAGATCTGCATCAAACGGGTAGCTTATCTACGCATATGTCCTAAATGTAACCAATATTTAAGCCTAAGTTCCTAGCTATAGATTTGTGACCCTCCTTCTTATGGAATAAAAAGCTAAATTAAACAAGTCAATATGTTATGGGATTAGGTTTTGACTAATTTAGCTAGAACGTACCCAAATGTTTTACTGGTAATTAGATAACCTATTGCTTCAAAAAATACGTGACGGATAATTATTGAAATTTATTCTTTAGTAAAGCCAAAGTTGCAGGGGAATCGTATAATTTAGTTTAAGGCAACGACATCGTCCTAAACTCGGTGCTGATATATGCCTTTCAATGAAAGCCCAGCTATGGGTGAGGCAATGATTTCTGGCCACTTTAACCCCAGCAAAAGTTGGTCTAACTACAACTTTTGGCAACTTAAGCCAACATTACTATTCATCATCAACTTCTTTTCCCGTTCGTGCCCTAGACACATGCTGCTAATGAAGTAGAATTCATCTGCTTCGATGACCTAGGCATACAAAGGGATAGTGTGGTCAGCACTATGCTCAGTCGTCCTTGTTTCCCTAAAGTGAGTTAAGTGCCCTTCAAACCTTGGTGGACTTAGTGACATCCAACACCGTCAAGATCGGATCCGAACTCAAGACTTCCAGGTTAGCTGTTGTAGGCTCTACCACACGACCACACCATCCTCTAACATTACTATTGGTCAAGTAATAATTACCGATCACTTGAACCGCCACAGAAATAGCTTTAGCAATTATTTCTGATTACTGCTGCCAATGCAAAGCGTATTCTACGTATTAGTTCTGGCCTTTGTGCCAGCTCAGCAATAAGTCTAGCTGTCATTTATTACTACATCAACTCATCAACTGGTCTAGTTGTCATTTCTGACTAAATCAGCCAACTAATCAACTGGTCTAGCTGTCATTTCTTACATCATCAGCAAACTCATTAAGTAAAATAAAGAATCCTCTTTAAACAAAGCGATCTATTGGGCAAATTAAGTAGAGTTCATATGTTTCTTGACCTCGGCATATGAAGGGATAGTGTGGTCAGCACTATGCCCAGCCGCCTTTACTTTAACTAACGTAAGTTAGGTACCCATCATAGCTGGGTGAACTCATGGACGTTCTACTGACTTTGACCCGGATTCGAACTCGAGACTTTCGATTTAGCAGCCTAGTGTACTCATCAAAATGGTCTAGCTATTATTCAGCAACTTCATGTATAGGTCCATCTATAATGTCTGGTGTCTTACAACCCTAAACCTAACAACGTGAGTACTACAGCTCGCACGCCCCAGTAAGGAAGTGCCCGGAACGTAAAAATAACACATCATCAGTAGTTCACATCACACCCCCAGTAGCATACGTTGCTACACTCTGCGGCTAAAACGAGCATGAAGTTGGAATTATACATTTAAATCATGTCTGCAGTTTTAAACGTTCGCTCGCCCGATCAATCGGAATTCAGACTTCTAAATCGATCGAATGGAGAAACACAATGGAACATGCACTTGACGCTTTGTCGGGAAAATATGCAGTTCTATATCACGCTACGGCGGCGGCGCAGGAAATGTATTCAATCAATTATACATAAAGAAGATCTAGTTTGGGGGTAGGGGGGGGGGGTAGTTCTAGAAGCAGAGTAGTGAGATATATGAAATTACCCAATAGGAGTTCGAAATTCTAGAAAAGTTCGTTGTACAGATTTCAAATAAAGATATTGTTTTTTAAAACACTCAGAATAAAAGAAGTTTTAAAAAATGTAATGGAGTTGAAATTGAAGATGATAAAAATTAAAGAGACCCGGGATTAAAGACACTAGAAAAAACTTTCCAAAGATACAAAAATAGCAGAAATCCTGTTAACGTTACAGAGCATTTTTAGAAAGCCTGAAACGTTACTAAATTTTAAGCTCTTAAAGAACATATGCTCTTAAATGTTGTGTTTATCTTGATAACAATTGCTCTTTCATAGCATAGCAATTATAAACTATAGAGAAAAGAGCATTAGATATAAAAAAAAACGGATGCATTGTATGACTTGTAGACACAAAGAGACCTCAAAAAATTATAATAACGCCAATTACTAAGGGAAACTTAGATTGACAATCCCAATTAAGCTGAAAACACCGAAAAACTGCTCGTTATCTTTAATTAAGTTATAAGCCTACTTAGGTTGATGAAAAGATCTGGTGGATTTAGTAGGCTGTTTCAGCTGGTGCTTTATATTTAACACGAGCACAAAGTTTAAAAACTTTTCGGTGTTAAAAGCGAAAGGTCAGTGTGCTTGCCAGTGTAGATTCTCATTACTCAAACTGTGTAATGGACGGACTGTGTAATGGACGGACTGTGTAATGGACGGACTGTGTAATGGACGGACTGTGTAATGGACGGACTGTGTAATGGACGGACTGTGTAATGGACGGACTTTGTAATGGACGGACTGTGTAATGGACGGACTGTGTAATGGACGGTCTGTGTAATGGATGGACTGTGTAATGGACGGACTGTGTAATGGACGGACTGTGTAATGAACGGACTGCGTAATGGACGTACAATGGACGGACTGTGTAATGGACGGACTGTGTAATGGACGGACTGTGTAATGGACGGACTGTGTAATGGACGGACTGTGTAATGGACGGACTGTGTAATGGACGGACGGTGTAATGGACGGACTGTGTAGTGGACGGACTGTGTAATGGACGGACTGTGTAATGGACGGACTGTGTAATGGACGGACTGTGTAGTGGACGGACTGTGTAATGGACGGACTGTGTAATGGACGGACTGTGTAATGGACGGACTGTGTAATGGACGGACTGTGTAATGGACGGACTGTGTAATGGACGGACTGTGTAATGGACGGACTGTGTAGTGGACGGACTGTGTAATGGACGGACTGTGTAATGGACGGACTGTGTAATGGACGGACTGTGTAATGGACGGACTGTGTAATGGACGGACTGTGTAATTGACGGACTGTGTAACGGATGGACTGTGTAATGGACGGGCTGTGTGATGGACGGACTGTGTAATGGACGGACTGTGTAATGGACGGACTGTGTAATGGATGGACTGTGTAATGGACGGGCTGTGTGATGGACGGACTGTGTAATGGATGGACTATGTAATGGACGGACTGTGGAATGGACGGACTGTGTAATGGATGGACTGTGTAATGGACGGGCTGTGTGATGGACGGACTGTGTAATGGATGGACTGTGTAATGGATGGACTGTGTAATGGACGGACTGTGTAATGGACGGACTGTGTAATGGACGGACTGTGTAATGGACGGACTGTGTAATGGACGGACTTTGGACGATGGTGTAATGGACGGACTGTGTAATGGACGTACAATGGACGGACTGTGTAATGGATGGACTGTGTAATGGATGGACTGTGTAATGGACGGACTGTGTAATGGACGGACTGTGTAATGGATGGACTGTGTAATGGACGGGCTGTGTGATGGACGGACTGTGTAATGGACGGACTGTGTAATGGACGGACTGTGTAATGGACGGACTGTGTAATGGACGGACTTTGGACGATGGTGTAATGGACGGACTGTGTAATGGACGTACAATGGACGGACTGTGTAATGGATGGACTGTGTAATGGACGAACTGTGTAATGGACGGACTGTGTAATGGACGGACTGAGTAATGGACGTACAATGGACGGACTGTGTAATGGATGGACTGTGTAATGGACGGACTGTGTAATGGACGGACTGTGTAATGGACGCACTGTGTAATGGACGGACTGTGTAATGGACGGGCTGTGTGATGGATGGACTATGTAATGGACGGACTGTGTAATGGACGGACTGTGTAATGGACGGACTGTGTAATGGACGGACTGTGTAATGGACGGACTGTGTAATGGACGGACTGTGTAATGGACGGACTGTGTAATGGACGGACTGTGTAATGGACGGACTGTGTAATGGACGGACTGAGTAATGGACGTACAATAGACGGACTGTGTAATGGACGGACTGTGTAATG